ATCCTCCTGGACCTAAAAGATAAGTTCAGCAGAACTAAGATTTCATTCACATATTTTATTCAGCTCTACTTGTCTTACTTATTAAAGAGAAGAACTCTTTCATGCACAGGATAGATTTCATTAATCCATCACAGAAGTTCAAAAGGATCCAAAGATCACGAACCCAATAAGTTCCAGTTTCACCACACAACGACTGAGCATACTTTTCACATGCACGAACTTCTGCAAATTTTGACTGCAGTTACAACATTTGTTGATAGCGTTAGAATACACAAGTAGGAAGATAATAAAATTTATTTCTTGAGTCGTTATATGATTAAAGAAATGGAAATAAAAGGTTTATGACGCACTAGTTTCTTAGCTGCTTCATTAATATCTCCATCCTCAAAACATAACTTCCCATGCTTTTTATATCCACGAGCACATTCCAACTTGCCATCATGACATTCTCCATTAGTTGGGCAAGGTTCGCAGTAGTCTGAAGAGAAAGTGAAAACTAAGAGATAGTATAAAGCAATGTAGATGCTAGTATTTGGAAAACTGCCAAAGGACAGGCGATTTTGGAGAAACAACTCTTTTCAAAAGAAAAGGTACAATAAATTTTAATTCAGTCTAATGAAAAAAAGAAGGGGAGGGGGGGCACACAATTGCAGCTATTGTTACAATATAACATGGTATACTATGAGGAAAGATATTTCAGGGAAGAAATAATCCTGACTACAACCAAATGCCTTCAGAAATTTTAAATGATGAATGGTTATAGGCTTATAGCAGTATGACATAAAAAAAAATGTATAAAATGCATTAAAATCTGAATGTGCAACAAGATTATCGGCCATGTAAAGAACTTATATACAACCAGGATAAAAATGATAACAAATTATTGATGAAGTAATTTTTTCTCACAGGTAGCTCGAATTAACTAACAAGCTTTAAATGATCCAGACTCCATTAGCTAACTTTTCAAGAAAATCCAAAAACAATTATAATATGTAGTATGATATGAAAGTCATGTCCTTCCATTAGGGTTTCATGCTCTTCTATTTCTAATTGCTCATTGACTACCTTACAGATTATTAAAGTTAGTGCAGCTAGAGTACAAGGATACCATTGAAAGTCATGTTCCAGGTTCTATTAAATAAACATGATATGGGAGCTTATTAAATTTTGCCTTGAAAAGAATTCACAAACAGTTAATTGAAAAAAAATAGTAAAACGTAAGTTGAAAAAAAAATAAAAATAAAAAATTGTAATCATAATGCCGCCACATAAAAGCCAAAGGAAAGAACAAGAAATACGCACGAAGTACAAAACAGTAACCTCTCATGGCTATGAAATTTCAACACACAAAAACAGGAAGCTAACTGAAAACATAATTCAATTAATTTAAGAGCGATAAACAAGAAAAAAAACATGGAACTGACCGGACAGAAAATCATCCAATTCAGAATTGCTATCACAGAAGGGTTTGACAGGGCGATTGAGAGAGGCTGCAATGAATTTACAGGCCACCGCCACAGAGG